CGCCCATGGCCCTGGCGCCTCCGCCTCTGCGCGCAGCCGCCGCCGCTCACCCGGGCCCGCCGAGCCCGCGACGCGGGAGCGATGCTAAGCGGCGCCGGCCCTGACAAGGCTCGTAAGATGTCGCTGCCGCGAAGGGCGCGGATCGGCTCGTCCGTGGGTGAGCGCGAGGGCGCGGCGGGGTAGGCAGGGTGGGCGGGGGCCGCGGTCATCGATCCCGCCGCGACCGGCGCGCTCTCCCCGGAGCTCCGCGCTTCTCTGCCAGGCCTAGCGACCCCAGGCCCGGGTGAGGGGGTGGCGGGTGTCAGAGCCCCCGTGTGGCCGTGGTGAAGGTGTGCAGGGTTGTGTGCGCGCGCAGGTCTGTGCGCCCCTCCTGGAGGCCGGAGGTTCTCAAGCTGAGACCCTAGCTGAGGGCCCACAGTGGGATGGCTACAGCGCGTCTCCCCTCTGGCGCGGGCTTGCCCGCTGAGGCGTCTTCTGAAGAGCTCTGGGGGGCGGAAGGTCCTTGGAGTGCTTTTCACCACATGGGGTCCTCGTCTGGTGCATAGCAGCTAGCACTCCATCAGCTGCAGAGGACACACACACACACACACACACACACACCCCTTTAGTGAGAAGCTTTTGTTACATTATATAATCTATTTAGAAACCGTGGTCTTGTGACGTAACCTAGTAGGTTATCTGCACTAGTAATGCCGCATTGGAAGAGGACCTTGCCAAGGACTTGATTTCAGAGCACTGCAGGACTTCTTGCAAACTGGTGACAGATACATTTTGACATGAAGAGGGTTTGGAGTTTAGCACTGGGGTTTGAAGCTGGGGCCACTTGTCATTTTCATGTTTGTATTTGTTTGGAGGCCATTAGCATATTGAAAATATCGTATTTTAGTAGTTGCATAATGTGAGAAGCCACCAAACTCTCTAGGTAATTGTGACCAATGTTGGTTAAATATGGATCACGACAGAGGATCTACATCTTCATGTTGAGAGTCCCTTCCTGAAAGGATCACCAGGCTGGGGTCAACACTACAATTCAGGGGGCCAGAGGGGCTGCTGGGAAGGGCAGCAGAAATGAGGGGTGGGTGCACAGAGGTGCACAGAGCAGAGAGGAAGGGGAACATCCTCTGTCTTCCAAGTAGAGCCAAGGGCATCTACTCTGTTTCCAAGATGGGGCTTGAAAAGGAGTAGCTCAAGGGTGGTTCTAAGGTTTGAGAAATTGGAAGACTGTATCACTCATGGGATGGGGAGACCTGCAGAGGACCAGGGTTTGCAGGGAGCAGTGCGAGGAGTTTGGTTTTAACCAGACTGCATCTGAGTTGCCCTCTAGAGAACCTGGTGGAGACCTTCAGTGTGGAGTTGGGTTTTTATGAACCTGGAGTTCAGGGGAGTGTTCAAGGCCAGAGACCCAAATCCAAGAGCTGGGGCAGGATAACCCTCAGGAGTGTCAGCCCTAGCATGCCAGGGTCCTACTGTTGGGAGAGTATGTTTTATTGCTCTCTTCAAACTTCTGAACAAGGGGCATACAACTTAATTTTGCATTTAGCCCTATAAATTACATAACTAGCCCCAGATGTCAGGTTATATAGATGTAGCCTAGAAAGAGAGCATCCTAGGGAGTTCTGGACATTCAAGTATTTCAAAGTTTAGGAGGTTAGGGACAACACAGAGTGCTGAAGAGATGATCAGTGTGGACACTGACAGTCTGGGAGAGTGGTACGTAGTATTTTAGCTTGCGAGACAGGAATGATGCTCAGAGCCCAAGAAAGGGGAGGCCTAGGCACTGGTCCTTGATTTAGCTAGATGGAGGCCATTTGAACTTGAGAGAGTCTCTGTTATGTAATTGCAGGGACTGATGTCCAACGAGCAGAAGCCAGGTAGAAGAAAGAGGAAGGGGATTGGCAACAGCGAGTCCAGAGATTCCAGAGAGTCAGTTTTGCATAAAAGAGCAGAAGAACTGGATGGAATCATAGCTGGAGGAGGGCATTCCCACAAAAGTAATAAACTCATTATTTTCAATGAAGTTTGATGCTTGCTATTTTATACAAGCTAGAAGTGCAAGGATTACAAATCACAGTCTAAGATTAGATATTGATCACCATACAATTTGTAAGGCAATTCTTTTTTTTT